CCAATTTTCCTAAATTCATACTTCGTACATTCCATGTTCCGATTTTCAATGGATGTTTACAAATGTTTCTCTTCATTTTGAGTTGTGCCCCATCAGCAAACGAAGGTCCTTTGGGCTTTTCTCCCACAGGCTTTACTCCATTCGCATCATCACAGCCAACTCTACTTTGAGGAGGCAGCTCTTTCCCAGTCACATTTTGAGTGCCTTCCAATCTGACAGGCTCATTTTCTGGCACTGTATCTGACAGTGTTTCTCTACTATCCATAAGGTTTTCAGTGACTAAATATTCGGAAGTAGTTCGTCACTCCTTCTTCCTAGTATTTCTTCAACTGGAAGCTCATCTGAAATCTGTCCACCATCGGTGACCCTGCTGGTATTTAAAATACTGGTTAGCATAGCTTTCAGAATCACAGCAACTCACAAGCCTCCACAGTACAACAAATTGACAGAGGAGTGGTGGATAAGCTATGCAAATGAAGTAGCTATAACCTATTATGCAAATGAAGCGATTGTGGCCTTCCTAGAAGGGACTGGTCACTTTGTGGCCCTGGTAGGTGGGTCATGCCTTAAAATTGATAAGGAGATTGCTTATATATGCAGTGAAATAACACAAGATAGCAGAAGGAAGAAAACAGGGGTAAAGGCATGCGAGGCAAGATGAGAAAAGACACAAAGGAGATACGGAACTTCCTAAAAGAACTGAAACACAGGTGAAGGGCTGTTAACAATGAAGATAACCAGAGCCCCATAGGTCAGTGGTGACAGCAGAACCCTGCTAGGCATGCAGGTAAGAGAGATAAACAAGCACACTACTACACTGGCTACAAGCTGGGTCAGTTAGCAGTCAAGATCAATGGCAGGAAGGACAAAGACAGGCCCATCTAGAGGGGGCCAAGAAGAGCTATGTCCTGAGAGACAAGAAGGAAGAGAGATGGGTAAGAGGGGAGAGAGAAGGGCCACAAGGAGCCCAAAGAGCTGAGGAGCGGGGAGGGATGTGCTCTCCACTTTAGGGGACCCTTCCAGATTTTGCCTGAGCCTGAGCCTGAGCCTGTTGATCCTGATCCTGAAGTGGGCTCTGATATTTCTCTTAGCTAAGTAAGGTCTGTGAGTTCTTTGTGGCCACTGCTGTAGAGAGGACAGCTGGTGTCACCACTGGTAAAGAGACTGGAGAGTAGGGGTGTGTCTGACCTCAAACCAGGGATCAATTACCCAATAAGCAAGGTAAGCACATGCTTAGGGTATCAACAAAACAGGGCACCCACTGTCCAATGCAGACACTTGTAGATACCAAGCAGACAAGACACATGGAAAAGCGAGTAGTTTAGTAGAAGGGAACTTACAGGGCACTCAATGAATTTGGTCACAAATCCAGTGTGTGAAATAAATTTCACACTGGATCATAAGAGCAACCACATGCAAGGCTGTTTAAGTTATGAGTCCTCTACCACTTCAACACCTTTGTTAACATCTGTCTCTTACGGTTCCGCTCCTGTGCAATTGAAACTTATCTGGATGGGTCTCCTTGTTGTTGAGTGCCTTCATGGCAGTTCTGACTCATAGTGACCCTGTATAGAGTTTCCAAGGAGCAAATGGTGAGTTTGAACCACTGACCTTGTAGTCCAAAGCAACCTTTTGACCCAGTGCTTTATCCCACAGTGCCATACCAGGATACTAGGACTGGGTGGGTCTCTTAGAAGTATATTATTTCTAATAAACAGGTGGGCATGGGCTGTCAAATCTAACTCTTGTTAATTCACCCAATATGCAACTGGAGTCTAAATGAACACTTATCAGACCAGGGTAGATTATATTAATAATAGGTTTCTGTTCCATTTTGAGAGTTGTCTTGTACATCCATGTTTACTGATGCAGCAGTTCCAGCCAGGGGGCCAGCAATGCTTTTTACCATGATACAAACACAAGGGTCTGCTCTTGCTCAGATCCTGGTACACAACCAATGGGAACTCCTGTCCCAGATAACTTGCAAAATCGAGAGAACAAGACAACCACTGCAATGAATTCAATTAAGTTACTTTTTAACTGTATAGCACTTATGTACAGAGTTTTGTCCTACATTTTGTAAATGATATTTATAACTTTAAGGAGCTCTGGTAGCGTAGTGGTTATGAGTTGGGCTGCTAACCTCAAGTTCAGCAGTTCAAAACTTCCAGCCATTCCATGGGAGAAAGATGAGGCTTTCTTCTCCCGTAAAGATTTACAACCTGCGAAACCCTATGTAGGATCGCTATGAGTCGGCACCAACTCCACGGCACACCACCACCACCATTTATAATTTTAACTTTAAAACATGTTTGGCATGCATGTGGATGCAATCTAGCATATATTTAATGTAATACCTGTTGTTGTTAATTACCATAGAGTCCGTTTAGACCTATAGCAACCCTGTATAAGGTTTCTAAGGAGTGACTAGTGAGCTTGAACCATTGGTCTTGTAGTTCAAACTGACTCTGCAGTCCAGCACATTAACCCACAGAACTATACCAGGACTCCAATAGCAGAAATTTTATTTTGTAGAATATGTGGGATATTCTTTTTTGTAGATGTGATATTGTTGGTGCTGTCATTAGGTGCCATCAAATTGGTTCCAATTCAGTAACCCACACTGTATAGGGTTTATGAGACTGTTTATCTTTATGTGAGCACAAAGTCTCATCTTTCCTGTAGAGTGGGTGGGGGGTTTGAACCGCCAAAACTCACACCCACTAAAAATTTTATAATCCAGTTCATCTCATTTCACTAAAATGGCATTTGCTACTTTTGTGTTCAATCACTAATAGTATTTTGTTGTTGTTGTTGTTAAATGTCATCAAGCCAGTTCCAATTCATAGCAACCCTGTATAGGGTTTCCAAGGAATGGTTGGTGAGGTTGAACCATTGACCTTGTGGTGCAAATTGACTTTGCTGCTCAGTGCTTTATTCTATATTCCTGCACCAGAACTCCACTAATAGTATGTTGTTGCTGTTGTTAAGTACCAGGGAGTCGGTTCCAACTCACCGTAACTCTGTATAGGGTTTCCAATGAGCAGCTGGTGATCTTGAACCACCAACCTTGCGGTTCAAACTGACCTTGCAGTCCAATGCATTATACCATAGCACCACACCACAACTCCTAATAGTATGCTGCTGCTGCTGTGTGCCGTGGAGTCGGTTCCGACTCATAGTGACCCTGTACAGGCTTCTGAGGCTGTAAATCTTTATGGGAACAGAAAGCCTCATCTTTCTCCCACAGAACAGCTGGTTGTTTCGAACTGCTGACCTTGCGGTTCGCAGCCCTATTCGTAACCACTATGCTACCAGAGCTCCTTCCCTAATAGTATAGTGACAATTAAAAGAAGTCACTTTATAGATAGCTAAGACACACATCCACACATACATGTATGTATATAGCTCACATATCCTGTTTGAATGTGTGAGGAAGCAGGTGAGGGGGCACCACAGATTATCAGTGCTCTGGGCCCTGTCTCCACCTCATAGGAATCAGCTTTGAATTGCACCTGGACTGATCTTATCACTAAGGAATCTAGACAAATGCTTATGCTCCTACTCCTAGATTATAGCATGCAATGCATTTTAATCACTTCAAATGTGCTAACAGACTCCTTTACTTAACTACTATTAAAAATCAATTATATGTATTTAATCTTTTTTACATTATGGTACAATCCAAGTAGACTGTTGAATTACTCTGTAACTACAGCTTAAGCACTGGACTGGTAACCATAAGGTTGGTGGCTCAAACCCACCAGCTGCTCTCGGAAACCCTCTACAGGGTCAACAACAACAGTTCAATACCAGCACCCATTTTTATTTTATTCTCATTTTTTTTGTTATAGCTGTTTTTATCTTTGTTGTTGTTACATGCCAGTGAGCCAGTTCTGACTTATAATGACCCTGTATAGGGTTTCCAAGGAGTAACTGGTAGGTTTGAACTTCTTACCTTGTGGTTAGCAGTCCAGTGCTTATCTTCCAGCACCACACTAGGACTCTGCTCTTACCTACAGATATGATCTAAAGTAAATCATGAGTACAATTTCCCAAGGCACCCTTATACATGATGATTGTAAATAAATATCGCAATAAAAATGTTGGTATCATATGTGGCACTGTAGGATACACACTAGACTAGTAACTGTAAGGTCGGCAGTTCATACCCATTAGCTGCTCTCAGAAAACACCCTATACAGGGTCAATATGAGTCAGGACTGATTTGACAGCACACAACAACAAGAATTCATTATCAAGATCTTATTTTCATTTTATTCTAATTTTAAAATGTTTTTATCTTTAGAAGCTATATGAAGTAAACCATGAGTCCAATTTCCCAAAGCACACCTTAGTCATGTTATTATAAACAAATATTGCTATAGAAATGGCGGCTGCATATGTGGCACTGTAGGATAAGCACTAGACTACTCACTACAAGGTTGTGAGCTGCTCCTAGGAAACCAACTGTGAATCACTATGAATCAGAACAGACTCAACTGTACTTAACAACAATATAAACACACTTCATGAAAATAGTATAAATATACACTATGGAAAACGTACACCATGAAAAGCAGTACATATTTGTTTACTTGTACACGAACAAAAGTAGTTCTGGTGTGGTGCTGTGGGTGAAGGCGCTGCACTACAAAGTCAGTTTGAACTGAACAGTTGGTGGTTCAAGCTCATCAGCTGCTCCTTGGAAACCCTGTATGAGGTTGCTATGGGTTGAAACCAATTCCATGGCATTTAACAACAGCAAACATTAGAAAAAACAAATCTGAATAGTATAAAAACAAATTAAGTGGGGCAATACCTAAAACGTTAAAAGTGAAAACGCAAATTTCAATTATGTACATTTGTGGGCCAATAATACTGTTGCAATGATACTGTGTGGACATTTTAATGAACAAATTTTCAGAACATTGATAATTTATTAAACTTAATTACATGATATAAAAATGACAGCAAAAGCAGTTAAAAATTTTTCTTACCAAGAAATCAAGCTCCTCATTTAGACTGTGATACTTATTTAGTTTGGCTCCCAAGAGGATAGGCACATCATTAATATTCTTGACTTCATTTGCATCAATGTCTGTGGCCTGAGACGAGATATATTTATGCTCAGTTTTGATAGTTTCACACTCCTGTAGATATTTAACAATACATAGTATATTAGTCTAGGAACTCTGAGAGTTCTTCAGTGGTAAGAATAATATACATGTAGAACTTAGACCGAGAACTAATCACCTGGACTCTCTATAAGTAGCCTCATTATACAAGTAAGGTTTATCTATTACAATTTTCCTAGTTAGAGATTCTAACTAGCCAAATAAAATATTCACACATACTTAAAATTTGGGAATTATCTATATAGATTTTATATTAATTTATTATAGCAGCATATTCTGAAGCGTAGTGATTACAGATTGGGCTAACCTCAAGATCAGCAGTTTGAAACTACCAGTGGTTCCATGGCAGAAAGATGAAGCTTTCTGGTCCCATAAAGATTTACAGCCTTGGAAACCCCTATACGGGGTTGTTGAGTCAGAACTGATTCCATGGCACACAACCACTACCACCACCAAAGGAACAAATACAAAATTTTCTCCTGAATTAAAACACCATAAAAAGTACCCATTTGACCTAGCTTGGATGGCTAGCTGACCAGAACTTGACCAGATGAAGATAAAGAAGTCTGATACAGGGAGCGAGAGTAAATTGCTACAATTTGATAAGCTGAAAGGAAAAGATGATTCATATTAAGGATCAAGCTTGATTGATAAGGACAGCTAACTTAGACATTGGCTATCAAAAATAGGGAGGCTAAAAAAGGCACGAAGTGGCTGGCTTACAAGCTTTCATGAGTGTGTTTAGCTTCCAAACGAAATGGGTAAGGTAGGATCCCCACCGAATATGACTCCCCTTTTCCAAATGGATCTGGTGAAAGGGGATAGGGATGATGGTGATAAGATTTTATGATTCAATTGTGAGTACTGTTATCAGGACTAATGGTGACTGTCACAACTGTAAATGTAGAAGATGTGTAACTAAAAGAGGGAAGCAGTTAATGTTTCATTTCAGGAACACAGGATCCTAGAACCATCAAGAGGGAAGAGCACGAGTAGAGTGTGGGATTCTAACCAGAAAGGCAGCGACAGCAGAGATGGCGGCAGAGGCAAAGGCATACAGAGAGAGAGCAGCTGAGGACTCTAGGCCCATGGACTGAAAAAGGCTGTGTGCCTGTGGGCAGGAGGCAGGCTTGTAAAATGTGTCCTTTTGGACATTTAAATGAGTATGTATTTTTTGTTTTGTAGGTATACAGTCAAAAAAAGGGGGGGGGGCAGGGACCAGAGATAAATACTGTTAACTGACAGTGCTTGGGTGGGGGGGATTGTAAATCATTGCAATGAAACAAAATATGATTTATTGAATGTAAAACTGATAATCTGCCTTGTAAACCTCATTCACAATAAAAACTTTTTTTTTTAAAATAAGGTTTTTATTATGGATTTACAGGGCAGATCATCAGTTTTACATTCAACAAATCATATACTTTGTTTCATTATAATGATTATAATCCCCTCCATGTACCATCGGTTAACAGTATTTCTCTCTATTCCTTTTAGCTTTTTTAAAAAACAAACAAACACACACTCAGGCATATATAATAATTTAGACCACCAAAGGGCACATTCTGCAAGTCTGCCTCCTGGCCACCAGCTCTTAGTTTCTCTCTTCCCATGAATCTAGAGTCCTCAGCCATTCCCCTCTCCATGCCCCTATCTCTGCCTCTGTCTCAGGCGTCACTGCTTCTCTAGATAAGATCCCGCATTCTGCTTGTGCTCTTCTCCCTTGATGGTCCTAGGGTCCTCTGTTTCTGGGCTGTAAGATTAACCACTCCCCTGTTTTTGTTACAAAACTTCTACCTTTACAATTATGACAGTGGCAATTAGCTATGGTAACAGTTATTCACTATTGAATCATACGAATCTTATCACCAGACCCATCTAGACAAGATGAAATCTATTCAGTGGGGGCTCTTTCCCCCCACTCCCCCAACACACTCTTAAACTAAACTCCCTCTTGAAACCTTGTAAGCCAGTCACTTTGTGCCTTTACCACCCCCTCATTTTAGGTAGCCAATGCCTAAGTTGCCCGTCCGTATCTACCCTGTGCAAAGAGGGGATAGCATTGATACTTGATGTGAAGACTCCTTCCGTCTCTGTTGGTAGAGTTACTACCTCCATAAGTATAAGGAGCTCTGGTACCATAGTGGTTACAAGACGGGCTGCCAACCTCAAAGTCAACAGTTCGAAATTACCTGTGGTTCTGTGGAAGAAAGATGAGGCATTCTGCTCCCATAAAGATTTACATACAGCCTTAGAAATCCTATGCAGGGTCACTATGAGTCAGAACCGACTCCATGGTACTTACCAACAACAACACCTATATAAGTATAGGTCAGGTTCATCAAATTGTGACAATTTACCCTTGTTTCCTTTATCCCCCCCCCACCCCCCCAATTTTTTTTTGTTATCTTCCTCTAGTTGGGTTCTGATTATCAAGCTATCCAAGTCAAATGGGTACTATTTACAACTTTGGATGTTCTTGTGCATCTCCCCTCACTTCATATCAGCTGGGTGCTTCACTCTCAGCTCTAGCCCTCTGTGGCTATGTTCTTGTCCATAGGCTCAAGTGTCCCCAGGTCTTACCACACTTTGGGCCAACCAACCCTTCCTGTTCTCTCTCTCATCTCCAAGTCAACAGAAGTCAACGGACTAGGGTTGAACTCAGCCCATTTATTCATTGCTGCCTTTCCCCCTCTTCCACTCACCAGTAGACCAATGTGGTTGCCAGAAAGCTTACAAGCCTGTTCATTTGTTCCCTTTGAGTTTCAAGTCTTAGAGGGGAATTTGTCCCGAAGAAACCAGATTGCTTGCCTTGATGGCTTCCTGGCAAACAACTTGCTTATTCTTGTAGTAGCCAGTCATACTGACATATTTATTTTGGGTTTTTCCTGATGATCTTTCTTTGAAGATGTATCTTCTGTTGCTCTAGCTCTTCCAGGCTGGTCTGCTTGTCCTTGTTAGTGGGTATGTCCCACCTCATAAGGTTCTGGATGGGATTCAGGATTCCACTTAAGGTCCTATACTCTGCTAAGGTTTTGCAAAAGGCCTATGTCATTGTGTAAGTTCTAGAACCCCTTTTAGGTATTCCAACAATAAAAAAACTTTTAATAAACAAAACAAAATACCATAAAAAGACAAAGCTAACCTTAATGGCAACACAGGAATTTGAAATTCAATAAATAAGGGTTACTTTATATATGTTTTACCATCCTTTAGGAACTGTTTGTTGTTGTTGGTAGGTGCCCTGGAATTGGTTCAGCTGATCGTAACCCTTTGCACAACAGAATGAAACACAGCCCCGTCCTGTGCCATCCTCACAATTGTTATGTTCGAACCCATTGTTGTTGCCACTGTGCCAATCCATCTCTTTGGAGGTCTTCCTCTTTTGGCTGACCCTCCACTTTTCCAAGCATGATGTCCTTCTCCAGGACATGTCCAAAGTATGAGAGATGAGGTCACACCATCCTTGTTTCAAAGGAGAATGTTAGCTGCATTTCTCTCAGCACAGGTTTGTTTGTTCTTCTGATAGCCCATAGTACTTTTAATAATCGTCAACACCATAATTCAAATGCATCGATTCTTCTATGGTCTTCCTTAGTCACTGTTCAACTTTCACATTCATATGTTGTTGCTGTTAAGTGCTGTTGAGTCGGCTCCAACCCATAGTAACCCTGTACAGGGTTTCCAAGGAGCAGCTTGGTGAGCTTGAACTGCCAACCTTGTGGTTCAGAACGATTTTGCAGTCCAGTGCATTAACCAACAGTGCCACATCAGGACTCTTCATATGCATATGAGGTTACTGACTTGGGTCAGGCACACCTTAGTCCTCAAATTGACATCTTTGCTCTTGAACACTTTAAAGAGGTCTTGTGTAGCAGATTTGATGAATGCAATATGTCTTTTGATTTCTTTACTGCTGCTTCCATGAGTACTGATTGTGCATAGAAGCACAATGAAGTGTTTGACAACTTCGATCTTTTCTCTGTTTATCATGATGTTATTTATTGGTCCATTTGTAAGGATTTTTGTTTTTATATTGAGATGGAATCTACACTGAAGGCTGTAGTCATTGATCTTCAACAGTTTTAAGTCCTCTTCACTTTCAGCAAAAAAGGTGTGTCATCTGCATACAGACTGAATAAGTATTGTGAAAGGATACAACCCTGTGTATACTTTTCCTGATTTTTAAACCCCTTTTCCTGTTAGAACATCTGTTTCTTAATTTATATGAAGGTGTCTCATAAGCATAATTAAATGTTTTAGAATACCCAGTCTTTGAAATGTTATCCATAGTTTGTTATGATCCACATTGTTGAATGCTTTTTCAAAGTCAATAAAGCACAAGTAAACAGTTTCTGTTACTCTTTGCTTTCAAGAAGATTCATTGGACACCAGCAATGATATACCTAGTTCTACACCCTCTTGTGAATCCAGCTTGAATTTCTGGCAGCTCCTTATCGATGCACTGCTGCAACCTTATAAAAATTATCTTCAGAAAACTTTCACTTGATATTAATGATATGGTTCAATGATTTCCAAATTCTATTGGGTCACCTTTCTTTGGAATGAGTGCAAATATGGCTCTTCCAATCAGTTGGATAGGTCTCCCAAATTTCTTGACATACATATTGTTGAGCATCTCAAGTGCTGCATCAGTTTGTTGAAACATTTCAAACTGTATGCTATCAAATCCTGGAAGCTCATTAGTCACCAGTGCCTTCAGTTCAGCTTGAACTTCTTCCTTCAATACCATCAATTCTTGATCATATAGTACCTCCTGCAATGATTGAACACCAATTTTTTGGTACAGTAACTGTGTATTAATTTCACCTTCATTTGATGCTTCCTGCATCATTCAATCTTTTGTTCCTAGTATCCTTCAGTATTTCCAATAGAGGCTTGAATTTTTTTCTTTAGTTCTTTAAGCTTCAGAAATGCTGAGTGTGTTCTTCCCTTTTAGTTTACTAATT